GAAAGTCTTACCATACTTAACTTACTTTTTAAGATTTAGCATCTGCTTCCAGTGTTCAGTGACTCCATTGATGATGCTTGCAATTTGACAGTATCAATCTTGAACTTTTAACAGAAGACTTACGTCATCTTTGCAAACAGGTGGCATCAGTACTATGATTTGGTCTTTTGTGGCTTTCTTAAAAAAATACTGTTTCTTTTGACACGTGTAGTTTTTTTCCCCCCCGGTATTGCCTGCAAATAGTTTCTGGTTAGTCATAAAAGAAGGAGAAAACATAGAAGGTCTTTTTGTAGAATGTTGAGGTTTTGAGTTCCAATGTTAAGGGGATGAGTAGAAATGGAGATTAAAGGTAGCGAAATGTGTTCAACAAGAAAGTGTTGAATGTCACTTGTGCTATTTATGTTCAGTCTTCTGAACTTAATCTGGATCTTGAAAATGGGAGAGCTGATCTTAACAGTGCTACCCTAATTAAAAATCCTTGTGCAGCATTGAGGGATAAAAGAACTAAGAAATGGTCAGTTAAAATTCTGTTCTGTTTTTCAGGTGTGCTCTGTAGGCTTAAAATAGTTCCAAGTAGGAAGTTGGTGGCATTGGAAACATTTGTCAAATATGATTGGAGTAAAGGTGAATCCATTGCCTATCTGACATTTTAAAATACTTTCTTGGGGCTTTTACTATGGAAAATGTTACAGGGGGAAATTCATTTTTAATTGAATGACTTAAATTTGGACCCAGTTTCTACCAGATAACGTCAGCATCCTGGTGTGCTGCTTTCTGTAGTATAGACAGTTAGTGCTATTTTGGGTTTGCTTAGAATTTTACAGTCTTCAGAGCGCATTCTTAGTTCATATTCTCATTAAGAGTTTCACATCAGCCCCACGAAGCAGGCCGGGCAACTAGTGCTTGCTATTCAGTGCTAGAGGGCAGGACTGGTTTTCTCTTAGTGTGCTAACCATTTAACTCTCTTCTCCTAGTTTGCTGGCCTAGACCTGAACTCTTCCGATAATCAGAGTGGAGGAAGTACAGCAAGCAGTAAGTAAACCATTTTATGAATTTCTTGACTATTAGAGCTTTAATAACTTCATATTTCATTGGAGTTACTTAAGGCTTAAGAATTTCCCCTCCACTTTTTACTGTGGAAAGAATTATATAGTCAATGTTCTTGGAATTATGTAGTGTAATTAGTAATGAAAGCATTGTGGCCTTTTGGTAATAAAAGGGACTTTTTTTTGAGTAAAAATCATTAAAAAGAACTTTATAACAAATTGTCTTTGGAAGTGTTTATGTTCATTATGAATCTTGAGCCCAGCTTAGACGTGGTGGTAATGTGTTTATCCCTATTTGAGTGAATTTACCAGAATTAAATTCAGTAAAGGGAACATACACGTGCTACAGCTAACCCTTTCCTGTGAAGAACATGAGATTTACAGGGCTATACTGAATCTTGAGGTGGTGGTTAGGATTGTAAATGCTGAATTGCATTGTTCTTTTCAAAAGAAGTTAGATAAAAGCTTTATTTCATTTTTTTTTTTCAGTTTTTGTTTTTGCTTTTTTGAGACTTGTTACAGATTAGTATTGAGGTGTAAGTGGTTTATTATTTGGCAGTAGACCTGCTTCAGTTTCCTTCAGGTCAGGTCTTCCTATTAAACCCCCTCCCCCCAAGAAAAGGAGGGGGGAAATGGGTACAGGCTGTAGGGTGTGAAAGCATTTTTTCCAAGCACTGTTAGGTAGTAAAGGATGTGGCCTCATTTTTAGGCAAGAAGGACCTCGCTGTGCACAAAGTTAACTTGGTATTTTTTGTATTCTACTTTATTTGCCATGGTGAAGATCTTTTAAGGGTTGGTCATCCTTTTTTTTTTTTTATTTGACAGAGACACAGTGAGAGAGGGAACAACACAAGCAGGGGGGGAGAGGGAGAAGCAGGCTTCCCACTGAGCAGGGAGCCCAGTGTGGGGCTCTATCCCAGGACTCAGGGATCATGACCTGAGCCGGAGGCAGACGCTTAACGACTGAGCCACCCAGGCGCCCCTAAGGGTTGGTCATCCTAATAGAGATATTTAATACTTAATTCAACCCAAAAGTGGAAAGGAAAGTTAGGTTGTAGATTCATTAGTAATAAAGCGTGTTGATTTTTCTTTACTTGGTAGATACACATTATTTGCTTTTGTTTCTCATCCACTGTCTAGGCTATATTCTTTTTTTTTTTTTTTTAAGATTTTATTTATTTGAGAGAGAATGAGAGCCAGAGAGCACGAGAGGGAAGAGGGTCAGAGGGAGAAGCAGACTCCCCGCTGAGCAGGGAGCCCGATGTGGGACTCGATCCCGGGACTCCAGGATCATGACCTGAGCCAAAGGCAGTTGCTTAACCAACTGAGCCACCCAGGCGCCCAAGTCTAGGCTGTATTCTTGCCTGCCTACAGAACAACTTGACTATAGACTCAGCAAGCCCCAAGTTAAAACTCAGTTCCTTGAAATCCTTTCGCCTTCGCAGTTTTTTGTTTATGTGTATCGTCTTGTTTTTTGGAACTTACCAGGATGGAAACAAAAATGTCTCTTAATGTCTAATTCCATGATTTGTTACATAGTAGTCTGTGAGGTTGTAATACTTAGGTTGTCAACCGTGTCTGTTTATGACCTTTCTCTGAAATAATGGCAGGCCTTTAAAAAGTTGCGTTATACTAACCACTAGTGACAAGTTATATTTGTTTGTGGATTTCAATGATTAGGTTCTGAGTGAAATTTTTATTTACCAAACTTTTCCTCCTCCCCTTCCCTTTTTAAAGTTCTTAAAAAGCAATACCCATTTAAAGTAAAAGATTCATTTTCTCCCCCTCTCAGTTTCCAAGTAAGAGACTAGAAGGTTGGGTACTAAGAAAATTTTTTTCCAGGACCATTTTTTAATTGCACAAATTTTCGTGAAAAGCTTTAACTTGAAGTTTTGGCATTTAATTTTATATTCTTTCTTTTAGAGGGGCGCTATATTCCTCCTCACTTAAGGAACAGAGAAGCTACTAAAGGTAAGTCGAGTAACTTGGTGTAGACCTAATTCTTTGTGTTTAGAAGTCGGAGCCTAGGGAAAAATGAGGCACTTTGGGAAGTCTGTAAAGATTGTGCTCTCCTGTGCCTGTCAGAATTGGTTCAAATATTAGGACTTTAATTCACTTTTGGGAAAACTCATCTTCGGTCACGCAGTGCAAAATTCTGTTTCCTCCGTCAGATTCTTCTGTGGCCAAGGGCGTGGTTTTGTACAATTTTACTAGTGTACTTTGTGATTTGTGTTTGTAATCATTCACATGATGATTTCACATTGAAAAAGGTGAGTAGGCACCCTACCATGTAAACCAAATTGCGTGGTTGATAACCCAGTTATTTCTGTTTTGCAGAGCTGTCAAGAAAGATGGGTTATTGCAGAATAGATAACAGATTATAAATCGATCGTAGCATTGGGCATGCTCCCAGTAAGTTGGGAGTGATCCTCTGGTTTCATCTCCTTGCCCTTAACTGCTTCATTTGAAAGGATTCGTCTAAAATGTATCACAACACCTGGTCTTTTCTGATTGTGTTTGTAATGTAGTGATAGGTAACTAGTACATACTTCATTATGGGACCATTGTTTGCGTGCTGTATATTCCATAAAATAGGTGATCTGAGATTTGGAGACAAAGTGAAGGTTTGGGAAACTATTTAAAGGTTAAGGAGAAGGAAGATGATAAAGAAGGCCGAGGGTGGAGAAGCCCACAGAAACCTGTGGTTTGCTGTCGTTCCTCCATATGCATGTGCAGTCTTTGTTAGCTGCACTGTCCTTGCAATACATGGGTATAAAATCCATATTATAATTTCTTGACTATCGTATCATTGTTCCTAGTTACAGCACATTTTATCTTGTATCATCATGGGTTCTCTCATTCTTGAGAGTGTTCTAGCTGAAATTGGCCCCATGTATATTTAGTGCTTAGTGCTTTTCCCTCTTCATCCCAGTGACAAAGATCAAAGGGAAGAGGCAGTATAGAGGTTTTAGAACTGAAAGATTTTAGAAATGTAATTCACTTCTTTATTGCTAGCTAAGGCTGTCAGTCACCTGGCTGGCTAATAGTAGGGACATCAGGCGGAAGGAAAGTAACTTGTAAACGATCTCTATTCAGTGCTACTGAAACTAGTTTACACCCTCCACTGCTTGTTTTTTAAACCCTCTACCTGTTGGGCTAATTCATACCTTTCTCATTCCCTGTTATTGAATGTTTATAGTTTGTACGTAAGAATCTGTCCGCACTAACAGTGTTGCAGGGATGAGGATTTTCCTTTTTTCTAGGTATTCCTGATTCTTGTCTGATAGTATGCATTTCATGTGAACAGAGCATTGTTCTACTTGCTACTATGGAAACTGGAAAATTCTCTATTAAAAAGTAATCTGACCTTTAGGAATGTCTTAAATAAACAACACCTCTAAGAAACATTGAAATAATGGCAGCTGTTTCCAAGTAAACTGGGTTCACACCTATAAAATGAATGGAAATTAAATTGTGGTCATATAACAATTGTTTTATAGGCAAAGCGATTGACCTTCTTAGAGGTGGTATTTTATTCATTTTAGAACACTTTCAGACTGTCGAATTGCTTGGCTTAGTGCACAGTATTTTCTAGTGGAGAGAGTTAAAAACATAAAAAATTTTGTGTTCCAGTTGTAAATCAGCTCTAAGTCTTGGTTCTTTTCTAGTACCGTGATAGGAATATTTCCATTGTCCTTCCAGTTCACACACATAAGATAAAGTTTTAGAGGGCTTCGAATTCAGAGACCTAGGTATTGAAAATTTCTAATTAATACAATAAAATGGGTTTGCTTTTTTTCATTGAAGGATTCTACGATAAAGACAGTTCAGGGTGGAGTTCTAGTAAGGATAAGGATGCGTACAGCAGTTTTGGATCTCGTAGTGATTCAAGAGGGAAGTCTAGTTTCTTTAGTGATCGTGGAAGTGGATCAAGGGGAAGGTAAGTGATTTTTATTGATCTTCTGGTCTTGTGCGTATGCAATTTAGGAATTGGTCTTTAATTTGATAAGTACTCATTCTTGTCCCCTGACCATTAAGCATGTTTTTTTTCCCTTAATGGACCACCTATTTGGATGTTAAGCGTTACATCTGTGTAATCCTAATTTCCTAGCTGTAAGAGGTGTTAACTAAATTGAACTTGTTACATAGAAATCGGATGAGAATAAGAATGTGCCCCTGGGCATAGTGAAATCAGTTGCTTTTATATTTCTTCAGTTTTATTTATATGTAAAGGAGTAAGTTTATCTAGTGAGTGGCCTAATATGGTTGAGATTTTTTGTGGATATTCTAAATGACAATTTTTAAACACCTTATATTTTTGATTACACAAGTGGTGAACTGACCTCATGCGCCTAATAGCTGTGGTTAGTCCTGTGTGTCCTGATTTTTCGCAAACAGGCCTAAAACTAAAAACATCTTAATTCAGGTAAGGATTATTTTCTACCTTTTATCCAAAGTCTGTCACACAGGTCAATTGATTGTCCTTTCAAGTGACATCCTAGTTATAACTGGGACAATTGATATTTGGTGTCTTTTTACTTTTTCCTACCACTAAAATATATTTGGATGAGAAGTTTAAGTAAAGGTGTAAGTTATGTGCTGATACCAAATGTTTAAGACTCGGTTCTTAATTTCAGCATGTATGAGGCCTGTGTAGGCTGTATAATACAGAAATCAAGAAGGATACATACTTAGCGTATGTAAACGACACAGTCTGATTAATTGAAAGGCCTTATTTGTCAAATAAGAGTAAGGAAAATTGACATCCTTGAAGTTAGCCATAATGAACAGTTCAACTTCTCTTCAGGTACAGTTCTAGAGTAGTGCTAGGAATCCGATAGTGGTTAAATGATATGATTCTGATTAGTTGTTTATGCTGTTCAGGTTTGATGATCGTGGACGGAGTGACTATGATGGCATTGGCAGCCGTGGTGACAGAAGTGGTTTTGGCAAATTTGAACGCGGTGGAAATAGTCGCTGGTGTGACAAATCAGATGAAGATGATTGGTCAAAACCACTCCCACCAAGTGAACGCTTGGAACAGTAAGTTTTTGAAATGTATGTTAATTATGATAAAGCCTCATTAGCTAGTATAACAAGTAAATGTACCAATCTTTTGATTTCAGGGAACTCTTTTCTGGAGGAAACACTGGGATTAACTTTGAGAAATATGACGACATTCCAGTTGAGGCAACAGGCAACAACTGTCCTCCACACATTGAAAGTGTAAGTATTTGTGCTTGACCTTTTAAGACACAGAGGGAAGTGTAAACTTTTTCACAGCACATCAAAATGAGGCGGCCTTCTTAAAAGCAAATGCAGACTGTACCTACTTTAATAATTCTTTAGTTACATAAAAAACCTGCCTCATCGGTTTGTGGAAAAGGAAAGATTGAGTTCAGTGTCACCATTACTAATAATTGGAAATAGAAAATGGGTCAAATACAGGAAGAACCCAGACTTCTCCATCGTATGTTAAACCTGGGGGTTGATTTTTCTCAAAATGTATTGTCGTTTCACGTAAAGCAGCTGTATAGTACAAATCAGCTTTTAGGGTTCCCCCCCATTATTGTATTAGTGTAAAGCAAAAATGGCTCCAGATAGCATTTCTAGCTATTTAACCCCGTTGAATTTCTTTTGACAGTTCAGTGATGTTGAGATGGGAGAAATTATTATGGGAAACATTGAGCTTACTCGTTATACTCGCCCAACTCCAGTGCAAAAGCATGCTATTCCTATTATCAAAGAGAAAAGAGACTTGATGGCTTGTGCTCAAACAGGTAAGTTTACTTGATAAAAGTAAAAAATTGTCAAGAATGCCATAATAGGGTTTGGTCTTGTAAAGCTAGTACCAAAAAAAACCACATGGGGTATCTTAAGTTTCACAGGGAAGCTTGAGTCCCAGATGTAGCCTCACCGGTATCCGTTGATACAGGTATGCAGTAGCTGGCTGCTGTTTTCTTGTGTTGGACCTTTGGGTTTTACGTTATCTCTAGTGTTCTCATTAGGGCCTATGGAAAGTCCTCAGCCCGGTACTGCTGCAAGAGGGCTAGATGATTGTCCGTGCGTTGGTGGGAAATGAGCACTGTAACGTTGTATCTGGAATAAGGGGGATAAGATGAGAATAGTCTGACCCACAGGAATGTGGCCCGGGGGAAAGGTGCCTTCATGGGAAAGGAGCACCTCCCATCTTCTGGGAATGGGGGTATTTCTTAGGTTGCCCGGGTCCTTTGGGTGAGGGGTGTTAGAAGGGGTTGACACCGAGTTGAAGCCAGCCATTCATGGCTACAGCTCTAAATTGAGGACAAGCTTTGCTATATTGGTGAGTTTGACCGATAAGATTAGAGGGTGGCACCCCTCCATTAAAAATACGTAATAATCATTTGGTATTTTTTCTTCCCTATGGGAGAGTGAGAATATCATCCTTTGTACACCATCAATATCTACAGTACCTGCAAGGAAGTATTAGAAATTGAAGTTGACATTATTTTTGAGGCAAAATTGCTGTTTCCTTTACACATGCAAATGCAAAGAAGCGAATACTACATTGTTACTGATCAGAGTTTGGTATACTTTATCTGTAAGGGAACAGAATAAACCTTTTTTGTTTTATGGGCCACATGGTCTCCGTTGCCAGTCTACTCATTTTTGCTGTTGTAGTCTGAAAGCACCTATAGACCGCATACAAATTTTGCATGGCTGTATTCCAATAAAGCTTTATTTACAAAGATAAATAGGCTGGGTCTTCATTTGCTCACTTAGAAGAAGTCACTTCTCGGTGTTTTTAACTTTGGTGTTAATTTTTAGAAAATTTATTTGGGCATAAAGTAAAACTACTAATTAACCAGTAATAGGGCAGTTAAAAAACCTCATGTACCAATATTTATTCAAAAATAATAAGGTTTTTCTGTGGTTGAATTAGAATATGCTTTCTCTTAAACAGGGTCTGGAAAAACTGCAGCATTTCTCTTACCCATCTTGAGTCAGATTTATTCAGATGGTCCAGGCGAGGCTTTGAGGGCCATGAAGGTAAATACTTGTTAAATGGGACTTTATTTTAAAGTAAGCTCTATGACTGATGTAGGTTTTGAACTCACCACCCCAAGATCAAGAGTTGCATGCTCTACCGCCTGAGCCAGCCAGGTGCCCCTAAAGTGGGACATTGTTACTATTTTTTTAAGATTTTAAGTATTTGAGAGACGGCTAGAGAGCACAAGTGGGGGAGAAGGAGAAGCAGGCTCACTGCCCAGCAGGGATCCCGACGCAGGGCTCGATCCCAGGACCCTGGGGTCATGACCTGAGCCAAAGGCAGCCGTTAACCGAGCCAGCCAGGCGCCCCAGTGGGACATTATTGTTAAACTTTGTAGGTCGCTGTTGAAAGAACTTTCTAAATGAGAGTTCTTTATAAAGAACTTCCTACTTATTCCGAATTATTTAATGAAAAAGTTTTCACGTAAGCAATGAATTACAGAAGGGAATTACGTTGTAGTGGGTCTTTAAAAAAGGATGTTGAGAGTTTAACTTAAATTCTTTCTTAGGAAAATGGAAGGTATGGACGTCGCAAGCAATACCCAATCTCCTTGGTATTAGCACCAACTAGAGAATTGGCAGTACAGATCTACGAGGAAGCCAGGAAAGTAAGTATGCATTTCAGGGATTATTGGCTTTCCCGTTGATTGTAATGAAACGTTTTATGACCATGTAAAAGTGTTGGCCTTGAAGTTGATAAACTTTCTTCGTTTACAGTTTTCATACCGATCTAGAGTTCGACCTTGCGTGGTTTATGGTGGTGCTGATATTGGTCAACAGATTCGAGACTTAGAGCGTGGATGCCACTTGTTAGTAGCTACTCCAGGACGTCTAGTGGATATGATGGAAAGAGGAAAGATTGGATTAGACTTTTGCAAGTATGTTAATTTTAAGTGCATGAAATGTAATAATTTTTAATTACTGGCCATTAGTTTTGCAGTAGTTATTAGCATTGTCGACATTTTGAAGTTTGAGAAGTGGCTTGTGTAAGTACTTGTATAGGAAGTTCGCTAATTGGAACTTTAATGTTGAAAAATCCAGGGACCTTTTTTAGTAGAGGCTGAGAATAACCAGACTGGGACAGAGTGAAAAGTAGTAAGAGCTAGTTTTGCTGTATGCTTGTGAATGATGGCAAAAATCCTGGGCTAGGTCTCATGTACATGTGTCAAATCATGCAGTATGAGGAATTTAACTATCAAAATAATATTAATTTTGATAACAGCTGTACTAAAACTGTCTTCTCAAATTCTAAACTGATTATTTTTATGGCAGATACTTGGTGTTAGATGAAGCTGATCGGATGTTGGATATGGGTTTTGAACCTCAGATACGTAGAATAGTTGAACAAGATACTATGCCACCAAAGGGTGTCCGCCACACTATGATGTTTAGTGCTACTTTCCCTAAGGAAATACAGGTATTGTTTGATGCTGCAACTTTTCACCACTCAGGAATTTGTTGGTTTCAGTAGATTATAATAAACTTTTTTTTTTTTTTCCAGATGCTGGCTCGTGATTTCTTGGATGAGTATATCTTTTTAGCTGTAGGAAGAGTTGGCTCTACCTCTGAGAATATTACACAGAAAGTAGTTTGGGTGGAAGAGTCTGACAAACGGTCATTTTTGCTTGACCTTCTAAATGCAACAGGTAATAAATAAATGTAACAGGTAAAATAATATTAGCATCACGCTGGTGACTTAGGTAATGAGAATCCATTTGGATCGCCTTTACTGCTTTTCCTCCCCATTCAGAACATTCGTTAAAAGTCTATTATTTGCCTCTCTTTGCATGTTTACTAAATGTAAAGAGAACTAAGTCACTATTAGTGACAAAAACCTGGTAATTTTTCACAATCAGGCAAGGATTCACTGACCTTAGTGTTTGTGGAGACCAAAAAGGGTGCAGATTCTCTGGAAGATTTCCTGTACCATGAAGGATATGCTTGTACCAGTATCCATGGAGACCGATCTCAGAGAGATAGAGAAGAGGCCCTTCACCAGTTCCGCTCAGGAAAAAGCCCAATTCTAGTGGCTACAGCAGTATGTATAAGACAGTTCTTACTTTCATGTTCAGCATGTTCAATTTTTGGCTTTAAGTGTGCCATATATAACAAAAATTATTTTTCAGGTAGCAGCAAGAGGACTGGATATTTCAAATGTGAAACATGTTATCAATTTTGACTTGCCAAGTGATATCGAAGAATATGTACATCGCATTGGCCGTACAGGACGTGTAGGGAACCTTGGTAAGTGTTCGGTTACTTGATGGTTTGGTGGTGGTGGTGGTTTTTCAGTGGGAGGCGTGCAGCCAAGAACTTCCCAGGATCTTAAAGAACTACTTTAAGAACTACTCTGTTTCTAAGGAATGCAGTTAAAATCTTATCTCAGCAGTCAAGTGACTGCTGTCACTTGTGACAGCAAGTGACGTGTCATCTCTTTTTCTTGGTATTCTACTTAATATGCTGTGTAGGAAAGTAAGAATAACTCTGCTTTTGTGGAAGACTGATTTCTGTACTTTTTGGAACTGGTTTAGGCCTTGCCACCTCATTCTTTAACGAGAGGAATATAAATATTACCAAGGATTTGTTGGATCTTCTTGTTGAAGCGAAACAAGAAGTGCCATCTTGGTTAGAAAACATGGCTTATGAACACCACTACAAGGGTAGCAGTCGTGGACGATCTAAGAGGTAAGGCATACAGGTGGTGCATAAAGAGAGGGATGGGTGCCACGTCCACAGTTCACTTTTCCAGTATTTAGTTGAACAGGCTTTGTATTTCTTAGGTTGCCCGGGTCCTTTGGGTGAGGGGTGTTAGAAGCGGTTGACACCGAGTTGAAGCCAGTCATTCGTGGCTACAGCCTTTAAGATCACTACTAGGGAAGAGAGGGCTGGGCTGGATAGGGAAATGTTTTCGTTGCAAAATCAGAAATTGACCATCGGGAAGTTTTAACAAGAATTGGGGTGTTTGGTGGATTTCGTTGTCCCATGAACCCCTAACACACCCTGTCGCAGTAGTAGATTCAGTGGAGGATTCGGCGCTCGAGACTACCGACAAAGCAGCGGTGCCAGCAGTTCCAGCTTCAGCAGCAGCCGCGCAAGCAGCAGCCGCAGTGGTGGAGGCGGCCACGGCAGCAGCAGGGCATTTGGTGGAGGTAATGGGAAGTTTTTTAACCTGTCTTTGGGATGGGCTTCTTCCTTGGAGTCCTCTTTTTCTAAGTGTAATTACAAACAGTGGGGAAATGCAGCCCTGTAGATTGCTTTTCGTAATTTGACATGAAAGTACTTAAAGGAGGGAAAGATTGTATTTAATGGTGGGTGACTTAATTAATTTCTCTCTTTTTTAAATCTCTCATTAGGTGGCTATGGAGGCTTTTACAACAGTGATGGATATGGAGGAAATTATAACTCCCAGGGGGTTGACTGGTGGGGTAACTGAACCTGCTTTGCAGTAGGCCACCCTGCCAAACAAGCTAATATGGAAACCACATGTAACTTAGCCAGACTATACCTTGTGTAGCTTCAAGAACTCGCAGTACATTACCAGCTGTGATTCTCCACTGAAATTTTTTTTTTAAGGGAGCTCAAGGTCACATGAAGAATTGAAAGGAACAATCAGCAGCCCTGTTCAGAAGGTGGTTCGAAGACTTCATTGCTGTAGTTTGGATTAACTCCCCTCCCGCCAACCCCCATCCCAAACTGCATTTATAATTTTGTGACTGAGGATCATTTGTTTGTTAATGTACTGTGCCTTTAACTTTAGACAACTTTTTATTTTGATGTCCTGTTGGCTCAGTAATGCTCAAGATACCAATTGTTTTGACAAAATAAATTTACTGAACTTGGGCTAAAATCAAACCTTGGCACACAGGTGTGATACAACTTAACAGGAATCATCGATTCATCCATAAATATTACAAGGAAAAAACTTATGCGGTAGCCTGCATTAGGGCTTTTTGATACTTGCAGATTGGGGGAAAACAACAAACGTCTTGAAGCATATTAATGGAATTAGTTTCTAATGTGGCAAACTGTATTAAGTTAAAGTTCTGATTTGCTCACTCTATCCTGGATAGGTATTTAGAACCTGATAGTCTTTAAACAAGCCATTCCAGTCATGATGAGGTGATGTATGAATACATGCATACATTCAAAGCACTGTTTTCAAAGTTAATGCAAGTAAATACAGCAATTCCTCTTTCAATGTTTAGGCAGATCATTAACTATGAGCTAGCCAAATGTGGGCATATTATTACAGGGAAAGTTTAAAGGTCTGATAACTTGAAATAGGTTTTTAGGAGAATTCATCTACTTAGACTTTTTAAATGCCTGCCATAAATGAAATTGAAATGGTAGAATGGCTGACCACAGCAATGACCAGCCCTCCTCGGGGCCCTGGGTGATTTTTGGTCTAATAACGCATGCTAGTGTTGATGTTTTTTGGTCAAGAGGGTATGAACAGGAAGAATTAATGCAGCAGGCTTTATTTTAAATGCCGATTCACATTACTCTGTTCAAGCTGCGTTGAGATGTTAAACTGGCTTACTATAGACTTTGTAAAAATGGCTCCAGAAGAGTAACAAACTGAAATTTTTGAGATCACACAGGTTGGAAATATGTACATAACTGCACAAGGTGTCGATTCTGCTCTACAGTGCAGTTTTAGTCAGTTTTAGTTGCATAGGTTTCCATTGTATTTATAGTCTGTTTATGCTAAATCTGGCCAAAGATGAGCATTGTCCACCACTAAAATGCCTCTGCCACTTTGAATTCTGTGCTAATTTTGTGGCCAGAATGCGGTGATCAAAACGCTCAATCTTTTTACAGTGGCATAGGAAGACGGCAAAAATTTCCTAAAGTGCAATAGATTTTCAAGTGTATTGTGCCTTGTTCTAAAACTTTTATTAAGTAGGTGCACTTGACAGTATTGAGGTCATTTGTTATGGTGCTATTTCAATTAGTCTAGGTTTAGGCCCTTGTACATTTTGCCCATAACTTTTTACAAAGTACTTCTTTTATTGCACATTCAGAGAATTTTATATATATGTCTTGTGTGCGTGTCCTTAAACTTCCAATCTTATTTTGTCTCTTGGAGATTGTTGAACGCAGCTTGTCTAGGAAGGGGATGGGACTAGATTCTAAAATTTATTTGGGACCACGGGAATAATAGTTGGGAAGAAAAACTATTTGCACACGACAGATTTCTAGATACTTTTTGCTGCTAGTTTTATGTAATATTTATTGAACATTTTGACAAATATTTATTTTTGTAAGCCTAAAAGTGATTCTTTGAAAGTTTAAAGAAACTTGACCAAAAGACAGTACAAAAACACTGGCACTTGAATGTTGAATGTCACCGTATGCGTGAAATTATATATTTCGGGGTAGTGTGAGCTTTTAATGTTAAGTCATATTAAACTCTTAAGTCAAATTAAGCAGACCCGGCATTGGCAGTGTAGCCATAACTTTCTGATGTTAGTAAAAACAAAATTGGCGACTTGAAATTAAATCATGCCAAGGTTTTGATACACTTGTCTTAAGATATTAATGACACACTTCAAAAACACTGATAAGAAGTGTCCAGATTCTCAGATGTTTGTTGCGTGAGTTTTGTTTAGTTGTGTGTATTTTTTTTTTCAGTGAATGTCTGGCACATTGCAATCCTCAAACATGTGGTTATCTTTGTTGTATTGGCATATTCAGTGACTTGTACATTCAGCGGTAGCGTTTGAGCAAGTTTTATCAGCAAGCAATATTTTCAGTTAATAAGGTTTCAAAAATCACGTAAGAATGGATGTAAACTTGCTGAATGTAAAGATTGAACTTCAAGTCACTGTAGCTTTAGTAATTGCTTATTGTATTAGTTTAGATGCTAGCACTGCATGTGCTGTGCATATTCTGATTTTATTAAAATAAAAAGTTGAACTGCACAGTCTCCTTTGTTGTTGTCAATTGTGGTTTATTATTATAGGTGAAAATAAAGTTGTGCTCTTGCCTGAAGAATTGTAAGGTGTAATTTTTTTGGTTTTCCTTCCAGTGCTAATTTGGAGATGCCTCTTGGAGACAGAATTACTCTGATAGAAGTATTTGTAATAAAAGATGAAGTTGGCCCAAAAAAGTTGTTGGGGTAGATGGGATTCAGGTCCTTCGTGATGTATGGCATGTATTGCAAATTGGTTTGTACTTTGAGCAGTTGAATACGGGTGGGAATCTCTTTTTCTGAAGCACTTGAAGGTCGTTTGAATAGTGGAAGAAGTTGGGCAAAAACCAAATGTACTAGTGATCCAAGTGATGATGAACACTTGGGGGTCAAGAATGTATTGGGGGAGGGAGCTCCTGGCTGGCTCAGTCGGTAGAACACGTGGTTCAATCTCAGCGTCGGGAGTTAAAGCCAGATGTTGGGCATGGAGCCTGCTTTTAAATGTATTTGGGGTCAGGGTGATGGGGGTGGCATGGGCACCCTTCCTCCCCCTTAAGTTTCTTTGCTGGCCTCCATTACTCCACTTTGCTGCAGGCTCCTACTACCAGTTAACAGACAGTCTGGATAAGACTCCCTTAAGTTACATATGTAAGGACTGCTCTGTTTTGGGGCCCAAACATGAAGTGTTGGCAATCAGATAGGATTTAACCTAAGGAAAGTAATTCACCTTGTTTCACTTGGAGTTCTCTGCAGTATGAGAACAGTTTTTTGTTTTTAGCATTGTAAAATACTTAGTTCTGGATAGCTGACCATTTTGATCTCAAAGCAGCATGCCTAAATTTTTAGGGCAAAATTTTGAAGTACCATAAACCATATTGGTTTTGGAGGTGGGGAAGAGGAGGGGGAGCCTGAGACTAGTCAAAAGTGGAAAGAGGTTATGTTAGGATGGCTAGATTGACAAGATCGTGGCCCAAGGTGACAGTGAAACTGGATTCTAAGAATGGTTCAAGGTCCTTTTTATGTAAATTAAGAGTGAACACAAGCTATCTGGGGGTACTGTCTAAATTTTTTTTTTTAAGATTTTATTTATTCATGAGAGACAGAAGCAGAGGGAGAAGCAGTCTCCCAAGGAGCAGGGAGCCCGATGCGGGACTTGATCCCAGGACCCTGGGATCATGACCTGAGCCGAAGGCAGATGCCTAACCATCTGAGCCACCCAGGCACCGCACCCTACTGTCTAAATTCTTAATTGAGATTATTTCTAGTCTAGTAGGGTTAAGATAATACAGGTTTACTTGCATACTATGTTAATTTTTGTAGTTTTAACTTTTGTAATTTAAATGATAATGTTTAAATATAAAATACTAGTCATTCTCCCCCTCCACCCACTGTTAATGTTTCCTGGGTTTGTTCTTAACCACCTCTTGGCTGAATTTCAACACCAGATAATTTTTTTCTAAAATGACTTACAGGGGCCATGTCTGAAAATGTTCACTGTCTTTGCTTAAAACGATACGTTTCTTCTATTACGGGTGGCTGTTTCCCTTGCCTCTGCTCCTAAGTGACCTGGTTGAATGGTCACAGGCTTGTTCTCTTTGAAACTGAGTAACTTAAGCTATCTGGGTGTTGACACTGCTCTTACCTGCTTTCCCACTGGAATGCAGAGATTCCATTCACTGCATTTTAGGAATATCTCGGGTTTTTTTCTCTTCTCATTGAACACGATTCTGATATGTTTAAACCTGCTTTGTTTCAGATCTTGTCCTCATTTCAGTTGATCTACTTTTCAGCATGTTCAGTCTGTTTCTCATGTGGTTTCCTCTCTAATGGCTGTTCTCCATTTCTTTCCTCATTTTCATTGTTGATGAGTTTTTCCTACCTATACCTGACTGGGTTGTCTTCAGGATAATTCTGAAATAGGATTATTTTAACACAGGGCCCTATGTTTAATTATAGTGTGGAAGAATATTTCATGACCTGCCAACATGTTTATTATGGGAGAAAACACCATAAAACAGATGAACACATCTACTGTAAGAGAAGCAGAAGTCTCAAAACAGGTGTTAAATGTAGAATTACCATATGACTCGGCAATTTTACTCCTAGGAGAATTCTATCCAGGAGAAATGAAAACAAGCTTACAATTAGGTTTGCATGCAAATGTTCATAGCATTCATAATGACCAAAAAGTGGAAACCACCCAAATGCCAATCAGCTGGCGGATGGACAAACAAAATGTGTATACGTGGAATGGAATGCTGTTTGCCCTTAAAAAGGAGGAAGTACTGATGCTATCTCTATCCTCCAGGGACATGACCACATCCCTAATTTCCTTTCCACTCTTCAGAGGATCATTAGGAGGGCCTGTTAGTACTGTGACACATGTCTGTATTCTGACTTAAGGTTTTCTGTGGATGTCTGTACGGTTTCAGTCCTGATTTTATTGTGTTAGCAGATCTAGTCATGGTTTATAATTTGAGGGTTCCTGTTTTCCTTGTTACACTGAAGATGACATTTTACTTTTTTTTAAAAGTAGGTTCCACGCCCAAAGTGGGGCTTGAACTCAACGACACTGAGATCAAGTGTGGCGCCCTGACATTTTACTTTTTAAGAGCTAAGTGGAGTAAAAATGCCTCTCCCATCTTTGGAAGAAAGAGGAAATCCTCATTTTTCCTTTTCCACTCTTAATTCTATACCACACTCACCTAAATTTTCAACAGCCCATCTCATTTACCTGACATCAGTTGGTTAGTTAATTGCAGAATGGTCTCTGAACCTCCACTTCTGACCCAGTCACCTGATACAATCCTAGTGGGTTATCGAGTAGACATTTGGATGGCCAAGGTTGATTTAGGGCTCATTCAAAAACATTTGGGGTCTGCTGAGTGTTGCGGAATGTAGCAATGACTTCAAATGTAGTCCTTGTCCTTTTGGAACCTAGTTTTTCTTTTGTGATTCCCCAACTTGTTCCAACAGGAGAATCTGGGAAATGATTCTATGGCAACTCCTAATAGAATCCATCCCTGGAGTTCACTCAGGAATCTCTTGCTTTTTGCTTTTGTATATAATTTCCCCAGGCAGTTCTGATGCAGCAAACTTATTATGGAGTCTGCTGTTCTCTACCTTTTATCATCTGCTCCAAAACTTCAATTACCATGATCATGTTTCAGGTACTTCATGGCAGAATCATCTCTATATTCTAAATTACAATAGATACTGCAACCAAATTCATGGCGCTGCATTAAGTTAGTCCAATGGTGTGGCACCAGTCTACCTTGGCAGCTTTTAACTTCTTCCCCATACCTTACACTGGAGCTGAATATGATGCTATTGTGAAGACATATCCTCCACTCTGCCAGAGTTTTTGTTCACCCTGTTCCTTCTGACTAGAATTGGAGCTGAATTGATATTTAATTTTATATATTGTACTCAGAATATTAAGCCGCTACTTACAATTATTAGCGATGTAGAGAAAATAATTGCTCTAATGGGTTGAGGAAGTAGTAGGTTTCAACTTGGAGTGTGCAGAATGAGCGCAACTCTTTGGAGAAGATGTAGAAAACTAGAAGGAAATCTGCAAAAATAGTGACAATTCTTGCTTCTGGTTGAAGCGGAAAGATTTTCTGCTGCTTCATACTTTTCCTGTACTGAACAAGTTTTATACAATTATATTTTCAATAGGGGCACCTGGGTGGCTCAGTTGGTTAAGCAACTGCCTTCGGCTCAGGTCATGATCCTGGAGTCCCAGGATCGAGTCCCGCATCGGGCTCCCTGCTCGGCAGGGGGTCCGCTTCTCCCTCTGACCCTCTTCACTCTCGTGCTCTCTGTCTTTCATTCTCTCTCTCTCTCTCTCTCAAATAAATAAATAAAATCTTTAAAAAAAACATTTAAAAAATTATATTTTCAATAAAACTTGTTTAAACATTTTTTTAGTCTGAAATGATAAATTCACAGGAAGTTGTGAAGTGTAGTACAAAGAGATCATGTGTACCTTTCACACAGTTTCCCCTGTTGGTAAAATCTGGCATAACTAATACATCAAAACCAGGAAACTGACATTGGTACAATCCACAGACCTCCTTCAGATTTCACCAGTTTTTTTGTGTACCTGTGTGTGTGTGTGTGTAGTTCTATGCAGTTTTATCACATGTTGATTCGTATAACCACCTCCACAGAACTGTTCCACCACCAAGGTCTCCCTAGTGCTACCCCTTTATAGTCACATCTGCCTCCCTTCTTGCTTCCCCACCCTGTCACCCCTGGCAACCGCTTATCTGTTTTCCATCTCTAAAATGTCATTTCAGAATTGTTAACATAAATGGAATTGTGCAGTATGTGACCTTTTGAGATTGGCTTTTTGTCACTCAGCATAATGTCCTTGAGAGCCATTCAAGTTGTTGCAAATAGTTGGTTTCTTTATTGCTGAGTGGTATGGATGGTCCATAGTTTGTTTATTCAGCTGGTGAAGGATATTTGGCTTGTTGCCAGTTTTTGACTATTACAAATGAAGGTTGCTACGAACATTGAACATTCACGTACAGATTTTTGTGTGGACATGAATTTTTGTTTTTCTGGCAGAAATGCAATTGTTGGATCATATGGTGAGTGTATGTTTAGTTTAAGAACCTGCCAAACCATTTTCCAGGATGGCTGTAACATTTTACATTCCCACCAGCAATGCACAAGAGATCCAGTTTCTCTGCATCCTCACCAGCAGTTGGTATTGGCATATTTTATTTTGGGGGTTCTAATTAATTTTTTTTTAAATATTTATTTATTTGACAGAGAGAGACACAGCAAGAGAGGGAACACAAGCAGGGGGAGTGGGAGAGGGAGAAGCAGGCTTCCTGCAGAGCAGGAAGCCCGATGCGGGACTCGATCCCAGGACCCTGGAATCATGACCTGAGCCGAAGGCAGACGCCTAACCGACTGAGCCACCCAGGCACGCCATATTTTGGCTGTTCTAATTGGTGTGAGGTGGTGTCTCCTTGTGGTCTTAATTTGCATTTCCCTAATG